ACGGAACTCGACGGAACTTGACGGCTACGTTCGACACTCCGACGGGATTCGACGGGACCCGACGGCTGAGAACGGTGGTCCGGTGACGGGCAGCGGGCCTGCTGCTCCCGATGGTGGTGATCGGTGATTCACGGCCAAGCTTGAACGGGATCGCGAAGATGATGATGATGGAGGGCGACGTGTGGATTTCTGTGATGGTCGGAGTTGCAAGTTGCTGGGTCTGACGGACAGCTCGCTGCCCGGCGGTGATGGTCTGAAGATGATGGCGCTGCGGATGGAAGAGAGAGCAGGTATGCTCTTCTTCTATCTATTCTCTGTCTTTTCTTTTTCTGTATTATTATTATTATTATTTTAAAAACCTGCGACGGAGGATGGTGATGGCGATTGGATTTCGATGGTGAGATGGTGATGATCGTCGATGATGGAGGTACGAAGGAGAAGACTCCTGCTTTCTGTCGCGAGAAGAAAAAGCCGAGAGGAGAAGAAGTGAAAAGCTGCGGCTTTAAATCTGCCGAGGGTTGGATTTTTAACGAGCTATGGGTTTTATCCTAACACATATATATATACATATATATATATATGTAGGGTTACATCTTGAATTAACCCTCAAGACACACACACACAACACATCACACGCACGCATGAAAGAAATGCGGGCTCGGGCTCAGGCTAGGCTGGGCCGGCTCTCGGTTCTTAATTAATTAGACAAGACTCAGGTTCGGTTCGAACATCGATAATTTAAAAAAAAAAACAGAACATAATCATTCGAATCTAGCACACAAAATAAATAATTAATATATATCATATTATATATATAAAATATTGAAATAATATTTATTAATAATAAACATTTAATCATACTTTTAAATGTTATTTAATATAAATAACGATAATATTTATTTAATAATAATAATAATAAACATTTAAACATTTAAAAGCAATTAAACATTTAATAACATTTAGGCAAATAATAATACTAATGAAAGCAATAATAACTTAAATAATTCACATATTTATTCAAAATCAAACGGGGCCTTACAGTTATTATTGTGGTTAGATAACAAATGTTTCGAAAAAAAAAAGTACGAAAATATACATTACATTCTATCAGATAAACGCAATTTAAAAAAAATAAATATTTCAATGCCTCTAATTGTGGTCAGTCAGAGCGGACGATTCAGACGCTTGAGGATATGCTTCGCGCCTTGGTTGTTGACAGGGGTGCCAAGTGGGAGTCGCTGTTGC